CCCGCCGGGGGCTGCGGGTGCGGAGCGCGGCGGGGGTACCCCCCACGACAAGCCCCTGACCTCGCCCTCCTGGGGCAAGGGTGGCGAGCTGCTGCTGGGGGAGCAGCCTGACCTGATGTCTTCCCTGGACAGCGGCATCCAGAGCGGGACCAAGTAGGACGGCAGCTCCCCGCACGTGGACTTTCCCGATGAGGTCAGCACCAGCTATGGCAATGAGGATGAGGTGTCCTCCAGCTCCGACAACGCCGCCTCCAAGCCCACCCGCAGCCCGCTGCTGGGCGGCTCGCCCAAGCTGCCCCGTGGGGAGCACGCACTTCTCAATGGACAGAAGCCCCTGGCCCTCGGCCTCCTCAGTACGTCTACCTCGACCCCTGACAGCTACGGGCTCAGCACCACGGCGGGCGCCCACCCCGGCACGCCGGGCATGGAGCAGGTGCGGACCCCCACGAGCACCTCGGCCCAGGACGAGATCCACCCGCTGGAGATCCTGCAGGCGCAGATCCAGCTCCAGCGGCAGCAGTTCAGCATCTCGGAAGACCAGCCCTTGGGGCTGAAGAGCAAGAAGGGGGAGTGCACGGGGCAGAACGGGGACAGCGACCTGGGCAGCTGCTGCTCGGAGGGCGTCAAGGGCGCCATGAGCACCATCGACCTGGACTCCCTGATGGCGGAGCACAACTCCACCTGGTACCTGCCCGGCGAGAAGGCCCTGATGGAGGGGCAGGAGGAGGACAAGCCCATGGCTCCCTGGGAGAAGCCCAAGCCCACGAACCCCAGCAAAGAAGGTATCGGTTGTCCCGCGCGGGTGCCAGCCCACGGGGTGATGGAGGGCTGCTTGGAGAAGGGGAGGTGGCAGAGCTCTGGCCCCAGGACGCCAGGGATATGCTGGCCCCAGACCCAGTCCACCCCTGGTGGGGACCGCAGTGGGTGCTGAGCGCTGTCCTGCACTGGGCTGGGGCCGCGGGGTGCCAGGTGGCTCTTCGGGGGCGGCCAGCAGCAGGGACAAAGTGCCTGCTGCCCGGCTGGCCCTGGGTGACAGCCAGGCCCGTGGTGGTCTATGCTGCTCCCCTCATCCCCATCGTGTCCCCTGGGGAGTGGCTGCAGAGGGCTACAGCAGCCCCGGCTGGAGTGGGGCTCCTGGGGGTGCTGAGCAGCGGGGCTCCCCGCTGGGCCCCAGCCTTACTCCAGGGCCTGGGGTGCTGCAGAGGGGGCTACAGGCATGGGGTGCCGAGGAAGGGGCTCCCGCAGAGCCCTGCTGGGCATGGAGTGCCGAGGAGGGGGGCTCCCGCAGAGCCCCGTGCTGGCCAAGCTTTCCAGCCGTTTCCCCCAAACTGTTACAGAAATCTTCCTAAACCGAGAAAAACATAAATTTGGTGGTGGTGCTGTCCCTCAGATTCCAGGTATTTCCCCGCTTGCATTAAGAGCCTACTAGCAGTGCGATGCCGAACTGAAAGGCTCTTAACATTTTTTTTTTTTTTTAATCTTTAATAGAAAGGCAATTTAAAATAAGGCTCTGGGTCTGCTGGTATAAAACTTGCTTGGTTGACAGATGTTTAATTTCGACATTAGTTGTCATTTTTGATCCTTCCCCGTGTCCAGAGGGCATCATAAATTCCCCAAGCTCGGGAAAAAAATATTTTAATGGAGAGCCCTCTACTATAAAAGCTGTTTATTAAGATAAAGATGATTATAGATTCAACTGGTTTCTATTTCATCTTATCAAAGCCATATTTTCCAAGCCGCCTGACTGTGTGTGAGAATATTACAATAGATGCACGTGCATGTACCTGCCGTATGGATGCACGCAGGCAATTTTTTGATGTTCTATAAGTGCGTGTGCATAATTTACACGATATAAACTCATTATTCGTGCCTAGGAAAGTCGATGTTTCGGTACTGCTGGCGTAGTTCGAAATTGCTTTCATTACATCTGCTTGTGCAGACTGACTTTTTACAGTCCTCCGCGTTCAGTAATTTCGCCAAGAAGGGCGTTGGGAAAATCAGAAGGGAGCTGGTTTGAAAACTGGGCAATTTCCTACCCCTGGTTCTGGTTGGCTTTCCAGCTTTGGCTTCCTGAAGCGTGAATCCTAGCCCCCATGGTTTGTCTCTTTGTTCATGCTTAATGCCCAGCGCAGGAGACTCGCATTTCAAGCGGGAGTGTTTAGCATGCACAGCAGACTCTAGGAAGCCCATCAGCATTCTCCATGCTTCACCCAGGCAAGGACATAAATTGGTTTGTTTGGGGCCCTTCTTTTCCATTTTTAAATGGAGTTGCACACAGCATCCTTCCTGGCCCCTTCTCTTTTATTGTTTCTTGTACACAACATCTAGATCTGACTGGATCAATAGCTAGTTAGCACAAATCACAGCTCCTGTCACTTCTACCTTGGCAGACTCGAACACATATGTACGTGCTCTCACAACACACACCCGCACCCCCGTTACGCATGCACTCACACGCAGGTCTACACCCCGTGCTGTATTTAGAAATAGATTTTAAAAGAGTAACTAATCTTAATTTCATATTAAAAAAAAATAAAATCCTGAGCAGTGATTTAATCCTGAGCAGCGCATTTATTAGAGGTGTAATTTGGCTTAAGGTTATGCGTGTCCTGTGTACGTGTGTCGTATGGAGCGATGCTTTCTTTCACGCTGCTCCTACGTTCACTTTGATCGCCACTGCTCTCAGCAACATCTAGTGAAATAAGTAATCGCTTTCTGGTCGCGATAACCGCAGTGTTGCTGTGAAGGCGGTTCATCTCTTGGAAGGAAAACCATTTAATCGGTGTTCCTGCATAAGGATGTGTTTTAGTATTTCAGAGGGTTACCGTGAAATAGCAAACCAGTTTCATGGCGCTGCATAGAGGCATTCGTTTGCTTCCATACTTCAGTCCCTGGAAGGGTTTGAACGGGTTGGTTCTCTGGGTGAGGGAATTCAGACAGAGCAGGGGAGCATTTGCTGTAACGGGTGTTGGAAGTGATAAAGGTACAATGGGTGAGGCAAAGCAGGCTGTGCTCCTCCGTTAGTAGAAATCATTTAACTTCACGTTGCCATACCCCTGAGTGTTTGAACCTGTGTTTGAGAAAGGCTTTATTTATCCAGCGATGGGAGACTTTAAACATTTTGAGCCAACTGGGATTTGCATCCATTGCGTTTGTTCCAGCAGTTCCTGGCGTACGTGCGCAGGCTTCAGCGCTCCTCCAAATTTCAAGCAGTTCCTAAATGCGCTCGGTGCTGCGCTGGGGAGCGCTCACCATTTCGCAGTAGTGTGGAACGTTACGAGATTTCATCGTTCGGCCCAGGTCCCCTCCCCAGCACCCAGGCGTTGTCGGTCGGCTTCTTAATTACACCTGCCGCGGTGGAACGGAAAGCGTTTGCTGATTTATTCCGGTTGTGGCGTGGCCGCCGCCTGTGCCGGCTGCTCCGCGGGCCCCGGGCAGGATGGAGGACGGGGCGGCGCAGGGCGGCGGGCGCATTCCCCCTCAGTGGAGTGCTGGGTCGGGCGTCCGCCTTCCCGCTCCTCTCCTCCCGCGGCGCGGAGCGAGCGTGCCGGGGAGCGGAGTCTCCGGCTTCGCTGCCGGTGGTGGAGGGGCAGCTTTGGGATGGACAGGCTCCCTGAAATGCAGCAGAATCGGGAACTGCTCAAATACTCCGTTAGTGCCCAGATTACTGGGGGAAACAACTTGTTTGAGTTGTTTTAGTGGCTGGTCAGATTTCTCGCAGCTCATCTCTTTTTTTTTTTTTCTCGTCGTGGCATTAAAATGATTTGCTAACAGCTAGCGATCTGCGTGAGCTGGGAGTGCTCAGGGCAGACGGAGCAGGTACCGTTCTTCCAGAGCGGGGCTGTAGGTGCCCGTGTAACGCGTACGCACCTGCATCATTTAACGACAGCCATTAGTGCGTTCTGTGCCTGTGTTCACATTTTGTTTCTGAATTTCACATTGTTAGTGCTGGCTGGGCATCTCTGCTGAAATGCGATTTTCCGTAAGGAGTTTTCCCTGATAGATCCTTTCTTGTACTAACGTGTTATGTGAAGTGGCTGATACCCCCCCCACACACACACCCTGCCCCAAAATGCTTTCTAGAATTCCATGTTTTCCTCTGCCGTGCAGCTAGAGCTGGGGGGGGATGTGAGCATACGGAGTCCGGCGGGGTTGGTTGGCTTCTCACACCGCAGCTCTGGCTAACAAAGAGCAACCAGATCAAATTCACTTAAAAACCCAGGGCCAGTTTAATGGGGCTTTGCTTTGCCTGCTTTGACTGAACCAGAACAATTTCCCCTTCAGGGAAATGTTGATTAGTATTCTCTAGAAGCCCAGTAATTAAGTTCTGGTAAGATTTTGGTTTTTGTTTTTAGTTGAAATTTTGAAGGTCCCATGCTGCAGATGTCAAGGAAGACACCAGGACGTAACCTAGAACCATGCAGGTGTTGACTGGAAGAAATGAGTCTGTTCAGTTGCTTGGTGGCTGTCGGGCTCGCTGGCCTGAGCCGATGGGCACATGTGGTGCAGCACCCTCCGTTTTCACCCAGAGGTTTTGTTAATATTTCATCGTAGCACCAAAACCCACCCTGTGAACGAGCCCGCAGGCCAAAACCCGTGAGGACGCCGTATGTAACGTTTGTGTTTTTGTGAATTACCACCAAACACACGAACAAGGGTCAGGTTTGGCCCAGGCGTGGCGAGGAGCCTTTGTTTTCTTTCTCCTCTGGCACGTTCTGCTGCGTGCTTTTATTTTAAATACGGCTAAATCCTCTTAGAGGCTTTACCAGGGGGCTCGGTTCGTGTGCTGAGGCTGAGTTGGTCAGCCCTCGTGTGGGGTATTGCCAACACTTAAAATCATTGCAAGCAACGTGTGGTGTGGAACGGGTTTGCGCTGTAGCAAAGGCTGTTGGAAATAAGTTCACTGACGGAGCCCAGCGCGCTTCGCAGCGATAGATCTGTGGTTCCCGAGGCTGCTTTGTTTGCTTGCAAGGGCTGCTTAAACTTGCACAAGGAATTCTAGCAGTTGGTGGAAAAAATACTATTCCCTCTGCCAAGAAGTTACGTGATACGCTGCACAGATACGAAACACACATCTTCCGTTAATGATCTGCATTAGCAGGCGGGTTTATGAAGCGAGAATTCTCCCGCTGCATGTCATAGGAGAGTTCAGCGTACGTGAGATTTGGGCGCAGTGGGAGCTTTTAAACTCTTCTGACCTGTTAAAAAACCCCAGCCTGAGAGGCTGCCCCTGCGTGGCCCAGCTTCGTGGGGTCGGCAGTGACGCTCTCTCATTTACTTGGACTGACTATCATTTTTAATATTTTCTACTAGAAAATGGCCCTGCTTAGAAATGTTTTCCTTTGTTTTATAAACATTCTGCAGCAGCGTTTGTAGCCGTTATGGTGAATATTAGAGAGGGCAAGGGGGAGAGTTCTCAACATCGCTCGCTGTTGCTGCTGTGATGCACTGAGACATTTCATGCAGAAAGCGTGTGAATTTATTGGCATTTCCGTAACCACTGTTTGCCTTTGCACCCATCTGTACGCCTGTTCGGTTTTGCTCTTCGGATTCACCTGTTCCGCCACGCGTGGACAGCCTGGCTGCATCGGAATTAATGCAGATCACTAATCCAGTTTGCAGCATGATGCTTTCTTTTACCAAGGCTGATATTTTACAACGGCGTGTTCCGTTGTGAGCTTTGTACGCGCTCGGTGTGGGAGAGCGCGCGAGGCAGACTTTGGGGGATGTATTGCTCGAAATCGCTGTGTGAGTGTGCTCCAGGTCTTCGCATATGATGTAA